GAGGGACACAGGTTAGGAAACAGATGTTTATCTTTTTCACAAATTTCTCTGGATTGTTTAACAGTATTCTGAATTTAGCATCAGCACAAGGATCCAAGCTGTAGATTTATGGAATGTAGTTAATGTTAACATACTATATGTCCAGGAATCTGCTCTCTCAGATTAAGAGTACAGATGAGATGATGGACAGTGTTGTTTTAAGAAAATCATGGATTGTTCCACTGCTTTTGTTTGTTTTTTGTGAGAATTAGCTTTCTAGTTATTGTGGATGGAATCTGTGTGTGTGTGTTACCTTCATGTGAATTCTGTACCTGTGAGAGAAATCATAATTCCTATCCATGGGATACAGGAATGTTTTTGTTCAACTTTCCTGCCCCTTCACTCAGGCACATAATATGTGAATGTTCTTGTAAACCGATCCCTTGAATGAGCCTTTGTTTGAGGAAATAATTGTTAGTTTTGGCTCTTAGAGAACTTAGATTGATAGGCACAACCCCAACAAAACAAAGAGATTGAAAACACACCAGAATCATTCTTCTGAATCCTGTGTGGAAGCTGAAAAGATCCTTCCTTTTGCCACAGAAAAAAACTATTCTGTTTAGCTTATTTAAATTAATATAAAAATTCTTATTTAATGTTGGATATCTTTTTACAAAAACCTTCAAAGAAAATAACCTTCTCTAAAGGTCTTTGCTGCCTAGCTCATATACGATGCTATAAATGAACAAGTAGAAGAAGGGATCCCTCAAGAAAGTTTCACAAAGCAAGTAGATTTTAACAAAGGATTTGGCAGGAGAAGGATTTTAGCACAAGGAAAGTGGGAGTCTGTAAACGAAAGAATAGAATAGTAAAATATATTCCTTTATTTTGCACTTGTAGCTTGAAAATAATTTGGTTTTCAAAAGTGAAAACTGCATAGGCAATTCTCAGTTAAATCCTTTTCTCTCTCAGTTATAATAGGCAAGAAACTTAAGGCTTGAAGGGTAGGTTTTACAAGCAGAAGCTGCTTTTCTTTGCATCTTATTTGAGCAGTTGGGTCAGTGCTGTGGAATCTGAGCATCAGTGCCCATAGATGTATGTATGCTTAAATTCCATCTAAGATAGATGTAGGGCCTAGTGCAACATGAATTCAGATACAGAAAATAACTTTTTTTCCTGAACCAGAGAACTCTTTTACTTTGTAACTTCAGATTAATTTAAGATATTTTCCCTTTATGTAAAAGAGCAAGGGCCTCCAGTTTAAAGGACAGAACTGTGAGTCAGGGGATCGGGTTTCTGTCCTCTACTCTGCCACTGACAATCCTTGACTGTATAATTTAACCTCTCTGTGTTTTCTCATTTGTAAAATGCCTTAGTTTAGAGAGAATGGTGTGAGAATTGATGATTTTCAAAGTACTTTAAAGATGTGTCATTGGAATGCAGGCTTTCTCTGACCTTATACTTGTAACAGGACTGACAGGGCTTGTCTACACTGGCAAGGTACTACACTGTAACTTTTCTCATTCTCAAAAACACCCCTCGGAGTGCAGCAATGTTAAAAAGTGCTGTAACATGGCAGTGTAAACAGACTTCCAGCATTGTTAGCTGCTACCCTTCTGGAGGTGGTTTTACCTACAATGCCAGAAGAGTTCTTGCCCTGCACTCTTGCCATGACCACACATCTGCATTAAGACAGTGCTTTAATCTTAGGCCAAGTCTACACTGGCATTTTACAGTCTGTAACTTTCTGTTTTAGGGGTATAAAAAAACCACACACCTCAACTGCAGGAAGATACAGAGCTGAAAGTTACTCCCCTCATAGAAATGGTTTGCAGTGGAGGCTGGGAGAGCTCTCATACCATGGCTACACTTTCAGTTTAAAGCGCTGCCATGACTGTGCTTTAAACTTTCAATGTAGTCAAAAGTCTTTGATGTGTAGACAAACCCTTAAGATATTCTGCATGAAGTCCTCCAGTTTTGTTTGAAGAGTTCTTCAATTCCTCTAACTTTTTTTGCAGTGCCTTATTTATTTTATTTATTTTAAATTCAGTTTATAATACATTCCTGTGCCAGGTTCAAAAAACAGTTCAGAATTTTAGAATCTGGATAGAATCATAGAACACTAGAACTGGAGAGAACTTTGAGAGATTATCAAGTTCAGTCCCCTGCCCTCACTGCAGGACCAGGTACCATCTAGAGTAGATTATCCCTGATCAATGTCTATCCAATCTGCTCTTAAACATCTCTAGTGATGGAGATGCCACATCCTCCATAGCAATTTGTTCCAGTGTTTAACCACTCTGAGCGTTAGGAATTTTTTCCTAATGTCTAACCTAAACCTCCCTTGCTATAGTTTAAGCCCATCGCTTCTTGTCCTATCCTCAGAGACCAAGGAGAACAATTTTTCTCCCTCCTCCTTGTAACACTCTTTTAGATACGTGAAAACTGTTATCATGTCCCCTGTTAAATATAATCTGTCTTAATCCCCACACATCTTTTTTGACTTAAAGAATGCTATATAAATGGCTCTTTCAGAATTCTCAGTCAATAGACTTGAACTTCATTTAGCCCGATGAGGAAGCAAGTTCTGGACTTCAGGGTCTGTCATTAAAAATATCCTGCTCTTAACCCTCTTCATGGTTAAACCAAGATGTAGTTAGCTCAAGCATCTCACCTGTTACCAGGTGCTATGCAGAGCGAGAGAGAGATCCCTGGTATCTTCGAAGCTGTCCCAACTATACTGGGCATCTCCGCTGAGAACAACATGGTTCCCACCAGAGGGGATTTTTTTCATCTTTACCATTTCAATTGATGATTGGGAAAGTGCACTGGAGGCATTGACTTCTAATTGGTGATAGAGTGTATATTCTTTCCACATCAAACTTTATAGAGAAAACTCAGAGAAGTAATTAAAAATAATTAACTAAACGGGAAAATGCCATATTTACAGCTTCATGAAGCAGATTAGGGCTGAGAAAATACAGGTTGCATTAGAAACAATTGAATTGAGTGTCAGAGTTGTACATAATGAAAGTTCTACGTGTGATTATATGTTGATTAATTGAAAACTTGTTTTACATCATTGCTTGCATAAGCTGCTATATCACATACCCCAGAATTGTAGGGAAGCAAATCAACCATTTACATTGTCTCATCCTAAGCTAGCAGTTTCACTGAAATATTCTGTTGTCATTTATTAACTTCAGTTTTATATATGACCTAGGGTTACCATGCATTTAAAATTCTGATCATTGCTAATGAACAACATCCCTTCAACACTCTTAATTTTTTGATTAGTATGTAAGTAGCAGGGGGAGGGGCAAATCCTGTATACTCTGTGTAATAATACTGTGTTAGAGACAAGGCATTAGAGTACTAGAGCTATGGGTGTAGCATTATCTGACTCATTGTCTGATGATTAATAATTTTCAAAAGCTTCAGAGGGGTAGCCAAGTTAGTCTGTAAGAGGATAAACTTAAAAAGCAACCTACGGTCTAGTAGCACTTTAAAGACTAACAAAACAAGTAGATGGAATCATGAGCTTTTGTGCGCAAAACCCACTTTTTCAGATGACCAGAGTAAAATAATTTTCAAGTCAGACAAAACTTGGATTATGAATAAAATAATTAAATCCCTGATCCCTCTACTTCAGTGGTCACCAACCAATAGATTGGGATTTACTGGTAGATTCTGGAACCTCTGGCAGGTGAGCCTGACTGGTTTGGCAAATAGTGCTGGCACTTCAGCTGTTTCTCCCCCCACTGATGTGCTTCTCCTACTCTCTGCCTTGGAGTTGTCACCTGGGAGCCGCCTGCTTGCTGTGCAGGCTGTGGGAGGCAGAAGAGGAAAGTGTTAATGTTAGCTTTTTCCCTTCCAGTCATCCCTGTGCTCTAACTTCACTGAGTGGGAGGGAGCATGACAGGGCTCGGGGTGGAGGGAGCTTGCTGGCACTGCTCCTGTGTCTGAACATACTCAGGATACATAAAAGGGCAATGTGAACGTCTGTCACTCTCACACTCTTTATGTGTCTCTGTCACTCACACAAACAGATTCTTTCAACTTACCTCCACACCTCAAACACATATTTGTGGTGGTATTTTTCCTACTACTTTCAAAGTGTGATATTTTTGGTTTCTCACTGGTCTTGTACATTTCATAATTTTTATTTCCCTCATCCTTAAATTTAATTATTTGAGTTGTGAGTTCCAAAGTGCCTAGCCTGTTGTGGCTGAAGTAATTATTCCTGTGGTAATTAAAATATATATATATTATATTTAGGATTTTGGTTTCCATTGGTGATGCACATCTGCAAAATACCTCAATATTTGTGCATGTAACACAATTAATTCCATCTAACGTTTTTCATTCATGTGCAGAACACTGGTTGGGAGTCTCTTGGAATCAGGCTCAGTTTCCTGGAGGCTCCTGCAGCAAAATCAGGAGATTAGCTGCTAATAGTCTGGCACTACTGTGGGGCTAAGGCAGACTCTGTCCTGGCCTGCAGTGCTCCTGGAAGTGGCTGGCACATCCCTGGGAGCCCTGGGGCAGGTGAGGTAGTGAGGGTCTCCACTCTTGCCTGCAGGCACTGTCCCCACGGGTCCCATTGCCTGCTAATGGGAATCATGGCCAATGGGAGGTGTGGGGGTAGTGCCTGTGGACAGGGGGCAGTGCACAAAGATCCCTGCCCCTCCCATCAGATGTTGTTGCTGAACATTCTGGCCAATTTCAGGAGTGGCACAAGGCCAAAATAGGAGTGACCCTGCCTTAGCCCCACTGCGCCACCTCCTTGGAGCCACCTGAGGTAAGCTGTGTCTATCCCTGAGCCCCTCATGCAACTTAACTCCCTCCTACAGCCTGCATGCTGGACCTCCTTCTGAATATCCCCCTAAGCTCAGCCTGGATCCCCTCCTACACTTAAAACTCCTCTGTCCAAGACCAGAACCTATACCCTCCCTTGTACTCCAATCCCCTGTCCCAGTCTGGTGAAAGCGCATGAGGATAGGAGAGGGAGGGAGGATGAAATGAGCACAGTAGGACCTCAGAGAAAGGGTGTGGTAGGAGCTGGGCCTAGAAGAAAGGGTGAGGAAGGACAGGGTGAGGCAGAGCAAAGGTATTTGGATTTGTGGTAGATCCGGGGTTGCACTTAAATTAAAAATTAACTTGTGCTTAAAAAGGTTGAAGACCCCTGCTCAATATCATTAATACTTAGTCATTAGAGTGGAGCCAAAAATGTAGAAACTAGCACAAATATTTTCTTCTGTTTTAAAAACATTATCCAAATATTTTATCCTGGATTTCATAACTATAAAACAAAAATCTCTTACAAAATGGTGAGATCTTCAGAGGAAAGAAACTCATTAAAGGAACACTGTCTCACTGAAAAATCTGTTTAGCAAGAAAACCTATTTTATTAACTGTTACAAACACCTTTTACAAAGCAAAAACATTTTAAGAATATAATATATTTGTCAGCATTTAAAAGACCCTATTTACACTTTGTGTTTCCAGCTTTGACAGTGAACATCTGTTTCTCATATATTAGCACAAAACTGTAGTGTTTGGAGGATACTTAGTTGTCTGGGGAAAACTATTTATATTGCATTTTTTTAAATATTGGAATCTGTTTTTGGCTTTCAGAATTGAGTTCACTGATGCACAGTTTAATTGTCAGTGTTGCAAACAAGCTAGCATATGACTGCTGCTTCAGGCCATATCTACACAAAAACATTGTGTTGGAAAACCTAAATCCAGCCTCTTTTGGAAGCACTCATAATTTTATGTGATGGACAAGTGATGATCGTGATTTCCCCTTAAACTTCCCTCTTTTTTTTTTCTTCATTTAAGTTAGTGTTTGTGAGAGAGCCTGTACTTATAACTCTGCTGGTTCAAATCCTCTGTTTATCTTCAGTACCATTGTATCATAGGGCCATACCTTTGTGTCATAGGGCAATGCAAGCTCATCCTCCCCCCAAATGGGACCTAACCTAGACAAGTCAGGGATCCTATAAGAGTCAGATGAAATAGGGATGTAAAATTTTGATTAATTAGCTAATCGAATAGTCGATGCAATTTGCATCGACTATTCAATTAGTCAATAAGGGTGCCTCTGCCTTTGAAGTGTAGCAGTAGCCCCAAGGATGTTGCTACACTTCAAAAGCAAAAGCACTGCGGGGAGCACAGGGCCAGTGGGGGATTCAAGCAGTCCCCTGCTGGCCCCGTGCTCCCTGCAGCATTTCAAAGTGGTAGTGCCACATGGAGCTCAGGGTCAGCTGGGAATTCCCAGCTGACCCCAGGCTCCACAGGGCATTGCTGCTTTGAAACATCATGTACAGCCCAGGGCTAGGTGGGGACTCCCAGCTGGCTCCGGCTGCCCGCGGCGTTTCAAAGCCACACACCCCAGGCTTCACACAGTGCTGCCGCTTTGAACACCCTCCCCGCCTCCCGATTTGTTGCCTTTTTCTGAGAGAGGCAGCAAGGGAGGAGGCAACGACTAGTCGACTAGCATATCAAGTATATGATAAGTATTTGCTTATCGAATAGTCATTCATATCCATAAGATGGAAATTCAGTCTTGATGGCCAAAAGGGGGGGGCCTGTTGTGATATCCTTTGCTGTCAAATTGGAAGGGCATATCTAGTGGGGCCTCAAAAGGGCCAGTCCAGGGCCCAGATGTAGTCAGTATTTTCATTAATGACTTGGATAATGGAGTGGAGAGTAAGCTTATAAAATTTTCAGATAATACCAACCTGGGAGAGGTAGCAAGTACTTTAGAAGACAGGTCAAATTGGGGAGAGTGCAGGGAACAGCAACAAACATGCTAAAAGTTTTAGAAAACCTTCTCCGTGAGGGAAGATTTAAAAAGGAACTGAGCGTGTGTAGTTAGTCATGAGAAAAGAAGATGGAGGGGAGAACCTGATAAGTTTTCCTGTATGTTATGAACTGCTGCTATAAAAAGGACTGTGATCAGTTGTTCTCCAGGTCCATGGTAGGTAGGACAAGAAGTAATGAGCTTAATCTGCAGCAAAGGTGATTTAAGTTAGAAATAGGAACAGCTTTCTAACTATAAGGGGAGTTAAAAACTGCAGTAGGCTTCCAAGCAAGCTTGTGGAATCCCCTTTGTTGGAAACTTTTAAAAATAAGTTGGACAAACACCTGTCAGGGAAGATCTAGGTTTATTTGGTCCTGCCACAGGGCGGGGAGGGGGGGTGGAGAAGTGTTGAACTTTATGACTTTTTGAAGTCCATTTCTGCCCTTTATTTCTAATTATGTGATTTGATTTTATGTGAACACTTATCCATTCAGGACTGAATTAAAACCATTGAATTTATTTTGTATCAGTCACTCATGACCTGGGGTGAATTTGGTATTGAGATCAAGAGGCTGAAAGTTCCATATTCCACTGTCACCAAGCCTCTGAACCACAATTTGCTCTTTTATCAGTTACTAAGAATTATATAACATTAACAAGAGATTATGTGTATCTTTCCTGGAAAAAAAAATCACCTTAATTAATACCTGATCATTTTTCCTTCTAGAAGTGCCAACATCTTCATAGAAGGTGACCAGTGTACCACTAATATTCTGGTGACTGTTGCAGTTTGTGTTGCAGTAGATTTCATCCAGGCCTCTTCTCCCATTTTTGGGGAACTTTGTTTATTCCCTGTTTGGGAAAAGTTCTCCTATGGAATTGAACCTGTGATTGTTGAATTCCTGAAGGACATATGTACCAATGAAGTTCATGTGTTAACTGTGTAGACAAGTTTATTTGCATTTATTTATTACATTTGTTTGCTTGCAAGACTATTAGTGTTCTTGACGGCTAATAGGCCAGTCAGTTACAGTCAGGGAACTAACTGCTCTCAAACATTGTACTCTGAGTTGGTGAAACCCCTCTCTTCCAGAGTAGAAGTAACCTGTTAGGCTGAAATGATTGTTAGCCACCTGATCTAGTCTCCCCTGAAATCAGTGAAGCCTTTCTGTTTGCTTCACTGGGATTTGGATCAGGCTTTGTAAATATAGATGTCATCTCCATGGTGATTTCTGTCAACCTCACTTTCATCCAGCAATCAAACTCATTTCATTTAGACCTAAAACTGGACTTGAATTTTGCTCCCATGGAATGCATTTGAAAGAACTAGAAATAATAATATTTGTCTTAAAAGAATAAATAATTATTATTCACTTCTATCTTTGTTTAAAAAGTCAGGACTTTTCATTTAATGTGCTATAAAATACAATAAATATAATATAAATTAAATAAATTGCTTAACATTTTCTATCTTAAGTCTAGTCTTAAATCACTTTTTGAAGAGTTATTAAATTATCCACCCATTGTTTCTCGAACATTCATGGTATTCTGGAGCTTGTTATTGGAGAGGCATATTTTCTAGTCAGACCTATTTTGTAGGGATTCTGACAATGTCAAAGATTCCAGGAGAATGATGTGTTAGAATAGTGAAGAGGGAGAGAAAATTCAGGTACAAGTAAAAGAGAAAAAAACAAACCTGTTTTAATCTGACAAGTAAAAGAAAATGTAGACTTGATGAAGTGATAAGATACAGGGGAAGCTGTTGCACACCACAGGTGCTGCTGGAACAAAGGCTCATAATAAAATTGATAAGTCTATGCGAAGAGATAGAAAGGAGGACACTGAACAGAGGAAGAGCAAATCCAAAAAGATTTTGAAAACTCACAGGATTCAAATTGGATCCTAAAATATATGGGCTGCTTCTCTGTGCTCTGAACTCAGAACTTGGTAGTACCAGGAATGGATTTAGCAGCATTTCCCTGGTATCTGTGACATATGGGATAATTCTCAATTTGCAGGCTCCTCTGTCAGGCATAATGTTCCTGTACTATTAAAAGGTATCTCTTAGCATACCCCATTTCTGAGACTGCCAAGGAAACTGCAGTTGGAGGGGTGCCATGTTACTGCCAGTGATGGTGATGAAGAAATATTTTAGTTAGCAACATTAAGCATAATAATCTGCAGAGATTCGTGTGTCTTGGAAAAAGCTGAGCTTAGCAGCAAAGATTTATCATGGAATTCATGGAGAATAAAATAAAGCTACTATGGAGATGCTCAGATAATGAAGTAATAGGTACCATATAAGATCCTTAGATAAATAATATAGATGAAGACTATGAATAAAATATATCCTGTATTAGAACAGGAAAGATCTCCATAAACAATCCCATTAATCTTCATTATTTTCTAATCACTGAAACTCTTATAGCTACCCTTGGAATGTTTCTAAAAACTGAACTTAACTTAACCTTGAATACCTGGTGGAAATCAGCTTTGTTTTATTTGCTGAAATAAATGTATTTGTAGTTTGTTATTTTAAAGGTAACCTCCCCAATTTCAAAACCTGACTCAGATTCAGGGATTGTTTTTAGCATAAACAAAACTATAGTAACCTTCCTTATGCTAAAATATGGAGGGTTCAGAATACAACTAGGGAGGTCACTTGGGGACTGTTAGGTGCACTGGCCATGCATTAGTCATTGACCTGTTCCCTAACCATGGAATCAACTAAATCTTTTTGGTGCACTTGGTATCTGGTCTCTGCACCTGATTTATTACATGTGCAGTACAAAACACTAGGTGGACTAAAAAAAAAAGAGGATAGGAAGCAAAGGAAAACATTTATACCCTATGGTTAAAATGTAGATACAACTGTCAGCATACAATAAAAGCTATAATTGAAAGGTGGCTGGTTAGCTATTCCTTCCTGACTATCTGAAGAAGTGGGCTGTGCCCACAAAAGCTCATGACACCATCTACATGTTTTGGTAGTCTATAAAGTGCTACCAGACCATTTGTTGTTTTTTAAGTTTGACCTGTACATACTAATTCAGCTACCCCATTTAGCTGAGGTCTGGCATCTGTTTGATTGTTTCTGTGGGAGTCATGAGATTACCTGGGTGGTACTGTCAGCTGCAGTCCTAAGAAGAAAAACAAAGGTAAGCTGAATAACACAAAACAGGAGTGGTTTGTTTAATATTATAATGTTGGCAGGTGTGGAATTTTCTGAGCTTTTGTATTAGTTGTAGCCGTTGGGAAATTCTTACTCCAAGCCTCATAAAGGTTTGTCCATATATGGTGCTACTTGGCTTCATTAAAAATAACTGTGAGTAGATGGGTAGGAGTGTGTGGGTACAGGACTGGGAGTTGGACATTCCTGACGAGTCTAATAACTCACAACAACAAGGAACGGGAAACACTTAAAAATAGGAAAATGTATGACGATACAACCATTAAAAATGATGGCTTTTAAACTGATTAGATCAAAGTTTGTCTAATCTTTTCTGCTTTATCTGTAATATGAGGCTAATATTTCAGAGAGGTGTTCTGAGAGTTAGGCAGCTAAAGTTTATTAAGTATTTATAACAGTGCTAAGAATTATCAGTGTCTCTGTTTCTCTGTCCTTGCTCATTTCTAAGAAGACCCTTCACATATGAGCTGCTTTTTTATTGGCATGCCGCCTTACATAATATTGTGGTTGTTGTTAAACTAGTTTATCAAATGCAGCATTGCAAAATTTAAGGGCAGCAACTTTTCTGGAGTAAAGTTAATATAGTCATGTTTACTTTTGAATGCTATTGGCCTGGAGGGGTAGTCTGAAGCTACGGGTATGAATGTGTGCTGTCTCAGTACAACTCCTCAGCATTTGTACAACTCCTCAGCATCTGAGATAGATAAAACAAATACCAACAACCAAGCCTGCTAAGTGTCAGGTTTTGGACATGATCTTGGTGATCTCATCTCCAAGGTTGGTGAAGGTGATGTCTTTGGGCTTGGGGAAACTGTATTAGGTAAGAGAAGTGTGTTTGGTGGAAATGAGTTGTAATCTTAGTGAAATTTCCAGAATGACAGGTATCCACATCACAAAACAGCTCCACAATGCTATTAGCAGAGAGATAAAGGTCTACAAGAGCATTTGAGACTTAACTTCCCTGTCACCTCTAGACCTTTAGGACAGGAGTGAGGAATGTTGTCAGGGTAGTCCATGAGAGAATCTTACTCTACCACTCTTTTAGCTTCACTACATTGTAGTCTCTAGAGTTGTCAGCCTGGCATTTTTATTAGCCACTGTATTTGCTTTTTTAAAAAGTTACTGATTTTTGTTTTTGTTTATTTCAGTGGGAAGTTGGTTTCACCAAAATGGAAGAATTTTAAAGGCTTAAAACTTCAGTGGAGGGATAAAATTCGTCTCAACAACGCCATCTGGAGGGCCTGGTATATGCAGTGTAAGTTACTTTATGGTAAACATGATGGCATGCAACCACAAAATGCTTGCATTTGGCCATGCATTTAAGGGGCAAACTGGTCAGGAAATGAAACCACAAGCACATTGGATTCAAGTGTACTTTAAAATAGCCTGTTTCACAGTAGTGTGTTGGAGGGGACTCTGAGAACAGCCTTGTTGAAATGCTGCCTTTGAGGTGGAGAAGGAGTCTCTGAATCTGTGTGCCCAACAGTCACGTTTTCATTTCTGTTTCAGACCTGGAGAAACGCAAGAATCCAGTGTGCCATTTTGTAACTCCACTAGATGGCTCTATTGATGTAGAGGAACATCGGCGGCCTGAAGTATGTAAAACTTAAGATCTAGGTTTGATATCTCTGTGTCTCTTCTACTTCTCTTTAGATGTGAAGACTCTCTAGCACTGCCATGCTTGGTATCCTCTGTATGGTAGAAAATATCAACATGTATACTGTATGGCTCCTCTTGACATGTATTGGAATGAACAAGATGCAGCCAAGAGTGACTTACAGCCCCTGCAGTGCTACTATGCAGCCCAGGACTACCCTCCAGTTTGACAAATTTAAGTTGTGGAGGTGCAGCCTAAAGAGCTGGTGACTCTAATCTGCTAGAGCCTGTTTTACTTTTCCTCTCAAAGAGCCCATTTCTGGGGGTTGCTGAAGTCAGTGGGAGGGGAGGGCAGAGTACCATGTAGGATCAAGCTGAGTGATTTTGTGAAAAATGTTTGCAACTTTTTATTCTTCCACTCACTCCAAAGAGCAGTTAGCTTTTGTTTTTATTTTCCAGTGAATACATTTTATTTCATAGCTGTCATGGCAAAGGGCAGCCCAGTAGATTTTGTACCTTGGGTGATGAATTTTCATTATGCTTTCGTATCACTGTGCTAACATGCATAGCAGCTTAAATAAGTTTCTGATATACAGCTTTTATTTCTCCTTTTGTACCATACAGTCTTTACAGTTTAGTTACAGATGATCCAGATAGTGATATATTGGTGTAATTATTAAGCAGCCACATTTCTTTTTTATATGTGGGGAAGATTAAATGGATCCCATGTTAGATTGTTCTGTAGTAGCTGGATTTAAGCACACCATGTCTGCTGGGGTTATGAGGTCAAACAGAATGGCTTCAGTCTGCCTGAAAATTTTGTGTGACTATTTAGTATTTGTATATATTTCATGATGTATTTTGTTTGTTCTCAGGCCATTGCAACAGAAGGGAAATATTGGAAACGAAGAATCGAAATAGTCATCAGGGAATATCATAAGTGGAGAACATACTTCAAGAAAAGGGTCTGTTGGTTTGCAGCGCTGACATTATTTTGACTGGAATTATTGCTTTTTGATTTAATAGTTGGACTTCTGATGTCATTTTTACATGCAAAAATTTTGGAAATTCAGTTATACCTTTACAAACATTGGGTCAGCTGATACGTAACAAGAGTAAATTGATATTCTGAGTTTGATACTGCAGCCATTATCCTGTGAATAGTCTCTATTCATGAGTGAACTCATGGGGCTAAAAAATGACCTGAATGAGTAGGAACTAATCACATGAGTAGAGGGTTGCAGAATTAGGTCCTTTGGGAAGTATGGGAGCTATTTTTACTTTTTAAAATATTCTTTGTTCTATCTCTGCAGTTACAGAAACACAAAGATGAAGACCTTTCAAGTTTGGTGCGGGTAAGTATTTTTTGTGGCGTGAGTAGTAGCAGCATCTCTGTTTATTGAAGTTGGGATAAGTAGCAAAGGTGTACTAGCATGAAAGCCTGTAGTTATTAAAACTAAACCAATTAGCTTTATTGTCTATTATGAAGAACAGGCATCTCTTGGATTAGAATAAATTGTTTAATAGAGAGCAGTACAGTTTTCCTCAATCAGATTGGATGGAAATCTCAGTCTAGACTGCTGTGACGTGCTGTGATGACCAGGCCATCTCTTTCTCCTTGGTCACGTGACAGCTTGTCATTGAGTTATAACTGGCAAAATTGCCTGCCTTTATGGACGAAAATGAGTCCCTTTTCTGTGCATTAAAGGCAAGTAGTTTGGTAAGCTTCAGAAAAGCCCTGGATGTTGAGGTGCTTAACAGCATCTGCACTTCAAATACCTGGAACAAAAACTAGTAGTGCTATGTAGCCTTCTTTGGACATAAACTGATCACCAAGAGAACATTTTAGACCTTTTGTAACTAGATGTAAACCCAATGTGGGTTTCATCCATCATTATATGCCCAGAACAATCTTTGGATTCACAAACCAGTCAGAAAATATAACTAAACATTCAGATAAACCTCAGGATGTCATGATTCTGGGTGAAAATCTCACCAGGTTTAACTGAGTTTTGTTAGTGCTCATTCAAACCCCCAAATCAGTGAAATTCTGGGTGCAAAATCCCACATATTTCTCAGAAAATAAAAAGGAAAGCATTGCCAAGCCACTTTGGTTTTATGCAGTTTTAATCATCAGCTGAAATTGGGAAGCTGTTTCCCTCCAGAGTCTAGAGTTGTGCAGTGATATAATTCACAGAGGTTTTATGCCAATTGGAGATAAGATTCTGGACTACATATACAAATAGGCTACTCTGGCACCAGTGGAAATAGGATGCCAGACTAGATGAGCCACAGGTCTGTTTGGTATATAAAAGAAGCCAGAGTTGATGAACTGTTGGTGTGAGTTTATGTGGCAGAGGATGGAATACCACAGTAGATTGCTCTGGAGGCAGACGGCTTGTAAATTGGTCGGATGCATTTTGATGGTTCCTCTTTATTAAAATGTGAAAAATAATGAGCTTTGCCATTTGGTGCCAGAATTGCATTGTGACTGGCACCTTCATATAACCAGACTTATTTTTCTTTCTTTCTTTGGTAGGACGATGACCTGGTTCTCTGGCATCAGAGTAGGTATGGCAGAGAAACCCCAGTCCCCATGGAGGAAGAGTCCTTTCTGGATGCAGATTTGCTTATGTCTGAGTTCACAGACACCCTCTTCTCTACACTTTCTTCACATCAGCTGGTTGCCTGGCCAAATCCCAGAGAGATAGGTATGTGTTTGCTTTTGGCTGTGTGGATTTTGCAGTGAGAGGAGACTTGAGGCTTGTTGCTTCACTTCTTTTCTCACCTCACATTTTCATTTTTTGGTTGAGAGGACGGCTACATCTTTCTCTTACAATGCATCTTCCTGGGCTGTTTATACTTGTGTCAAAGTCTCACAGGGGTAGCTGTGTTGGTCTGTAACTTAAAAAAACCTCAAAAAACAATGAGTTGTCCTGTTGCACCTTGTAGACTAACAAAAATTTACATAGTATCATGAACTTTTGTGTGCACAACCTTCTTCTTTAGATGACTGGAGCTAGAGGCATGTTTGTCTGCTTTAAATTATGGGATTTCTGTACTTCTCTGTCCACTTTGCTCCTCTCATATGAAGAAGTGGGATGTACCCACAAAAGCGCATGATATTGTACTTGTATCGGTTTAACAGAAGTGACAAACTTTTACGTTTTTTAAAAATTATATAAGGGATCAAAAATCCTATTCAAATATTAAGCCTAAATTTGCTTTCTTACTTTTATCTTATTGCACCTAATAACTGGTACACCCTTTGGTACCATGTCATACACTAAGAAGTATTGTTGCTTATGAGGCTATTAGAATCTACATACAATCTTCTTATTCTTTTGTAATGTAATAAATATTAATTTATATACACCATAAACTTGCAGAATGTCACAGTTCTTATTATAAAAGCCAATCCAAATAAGCATTGTTCCATCAAAGTGTTACTTTTTGATTGCAGGGGTGGGAGACCTAAGACCCAGTAGCTGGATGTGGCCCCCAACTTGCCTGGATCTGGCCTCCAAAGCTCAGGGGCTCCCCCCAGCATTGGGGAGTCCTTGTGGGGGGCTGGAGCGCACACAATCTACTAGCCTGAGCCTCACTAGGCTCTGGTGTGCAAGGGGAATGTAGGGAATGTCTTTCTCCTTCTCAGTCTGGGCTGCATCAGCGAGGGTTTGTTTTTTGTTGTTGTTGATTTTTTTTTTTTAACTTCTCACTTGTGTGCATCCCCTGACTGATTTTTCTGTGGCTCATTGGCCCCCAGCTCAAGAAGGGTTACCCACCTCTGGTGAAGAGTCTTCAGAAATGACCCTCTTTCTTTTAATTAAATGGATGTCCCTCTGTCCAACAGAACTCAGCTCAAATTCTTTGTAGCCAAAATTCGGAGTTGCACTCTGTGGGACCTAATCTCTGAACTGTCTCAGTGGGAGTTCTGTGTGCAGAGTGCTTGCAGAATCCAGACCTAAGGTTTATACTCCATTCCAGCAGTGTGACAATCTTTCTTTGAGCAGCTCATCTACATTGTAATAAACTGAAGTGGCATGTATCCTGCAAAATTAATCCAACTCTCTTTCTCTGTCTCTCTCCCTTGGTTATTCCAGCACACTTAGGAAATGCTGACATGATTCAGCCAGGACTTAGCCCTCTCCAGCCAAATCTAGATTTCATGGATACTTTTGAACCTTTTCAGGGTAAGAATAAAGAGAAAATGAGTTTCCTTTCTTTAATAGTATTGTAGCACTAATTTCTGCAATAATGGTAATGGCTTTTGAACAGAAAAATAAACTATGCAAATCAATATATTCTCTTTAGACAGTATGAAAATGGAGCCAGAGCTCTCAAGCATTTGAAATTATTTTTTTAAAGGAAAAACTATAAAGAGATCCTCTTACTTTTACAAGACCAGTTCTTTGCATGACTGAGTGTTGAAAAGCATTTGTAAGAGTCTTTGTGTCCTAAGATTCAGACTTTGAAGAATGAAGCTTTCAGAGGAATGGTTTTTGAATCTTTACCCATGGTTAGTATGAGAGAACATCAGTTGTTAGCAGAGTACCTTGCAGGGGATGATGTTAATTCAGGGGTGGGCAATAATTTTCGCAGTGGGGCCACTTCACAAATTTTGGTATGTGGTCATGATCCAGCTCTGGGTCCCCTGGAAGGGATGAGGCCTTGGGCAAAAGAGTGAGGCTGGGGCTACAGAGAGAGAAAATGCATGCGTACGAGACTGACTTTGACAGATTGTGTGTGTGTGGCACAGAGACTGGGAGAGTATGTGTGGCACTGACAGTGTGGTGTAGACTGGGTGTGTGGATGCAAGGAAGAAGTTATGTCGACAGAAAAGGCCTCCAGGAAGAAGCCCTGGTGGACACTCCTGCCACAGCTTTCAACTCTATTGTTCTTGCCTGTAGCCATCTTTAAAAGGCACAGGCAACAAGCCAGCTCCAGAAAGGACCCTGACTGCGCAGCTCTTTCTGGTAGGGACACTCGGGAGACATGTCCCTGGGACAAGCCCCCCCAAGACCTCTTTGACCCTTCCAGAGACTCATCCCCCCAGGGCACCAAGCGCACCTACTTAGACCTGGTGCATCAGCACGTTGGGGTCCAGCAAAGGATGCAGGAGTCAATGGAGAGGAGGTCTATTCGATTAGTCGATAGGGCGAAAGCACTGCATGGAGCCCAGGATCAGTTGGGGACTCCAGCTGATCCTGGGCTCCATGCTGCCCTGCCACTTTGAAACGCTGCATGCAATTTGACACTGGGCTCCCTGCGGTGTTTCAAAGCAGCAGTGCCATAGGGAGCCTGGAGTCAGCAGTGGAGTACACAGATGATCCCAGGCTCCACATGACGCTGACACTTTGAAATGCCATGTGCAGCCTGGGAATGCCACAGCTGGCCCCGGGGTCCACTCAGCGCTGCTGCTTTGAAGTACCCCCGTCTTCTTCCCTGCCTCCCCAGTGCTTATTGGATAGTCAACTAGTCATCTAGTCCTTCACATCCCTAGGCCAGATAGAAATGAGTGGTGGGCCCCCAGGCCTGAGTTTGCCCAACACTGTGCTAACTGGTGTCTCCTTGATTCTTATAACCCCATCAATCACACGTGATCTTTGTGGCTTCCCCATATCTTAGTAACAATTTAATAGCCAAATGCAAAATCTGATGTTATGGAGACCTCTATTACTATTTGACTATTTACTCTAGAATAGTAATGGAACGCTGAAGAATTATCAAGATGTTGAACCACAGCTGTCAAATGTTTTGTTGTAATTTTTCATATAGGCAAAATTCACATTTGTATAAAGGCCTAGGTACCAACTAAGCTATGAAAGTAGAATTCAAGTGGAACTCACATGGTGCCTGGGCCTTCTGCGTATTCTCTATGAGCAAGGCTTGATAAATCCCTGAATCTACTCACCTGTGGTGAGTAGATTTCAGCTGGTCGCCCCGTTCACTGGCGGCGTGTGCATGCACAATGCGGGTCTTGCGCATGTGCAGGGCGGTGCTGGCAGGTAGGTTTTGTCAAGCCCTGTCTATGAAGGTCTGAATTTCACCAATGTCCAATAAATTTGCATGACATTTGACAAGCAAACATAGTTGAAAAATAATCCTTTGCCCAAAGAGTTCATAAATCTCCATAGGACAGGCGAACATCTTTGGATTTGTAAATAAGCAGAATACATTTGGTGGTAATGCAGTTTCCTTGTTTTTTAATTATGTACATTTGCTTGCTAATTCTCAGTGAGTCTCCCGTAACTTAGTGCTATGTAGCAATGTTCTACCGTAATATGGACAGTAAAACATTTAATATTTGTTTTTACATTCTTTCAGATATATTCTCATCCAGTCGCTCTGGCAACATGTTCACTTCTCTCCCTGCTGCCAGTTCTTCTATGACAGATAACAGCAGCCATTCTTCCCAGGTAAAAGTGGTTTTGTGTAATGAAAATTGCCAGGGCTTAAATGTATAAGTACTATACTGGCCTTCATGTACTAATATATGGTATTGTAAAGGTCATGTTAATAGAATTGAATAAACATGATATTTGATTACTACAATGTATTTTCCTCTGATTTACCCACTAAAAGAAATCATTACAATAACCTAGAAATAAAAATAACTGGTACTGTATTGAAGATGTTGTAACTTCAATATCTTTGCCCTCCGTCGTGTCGGGTTCAGTAAATAATTTTCTGTGTACTTTAAAATATTCGTTTTTAAAGAACAGACTTTACATTATAGAGAGTGTTTTGAGTGAAATAGTGCATCTTGAATGGAGTTGGGCCTTTCTATAAAGAACCATATGTACAGGGAACTGGGAGACTTAACTGCTGTGCTCTGTTCCCAATTCTGTCATTGGCTAGCTATGGGACCTGAGCCCCATCTCTTAACCTCCATGTACCTCGGTTTTCTCATCTGTAAAACAAGGATATTGGTGACTGTCTCCCTCTGAAGTGCTGTGGATCTCAAAAGCCTTGAAGATCTTTACCTAACTGCATTTTCTGGAGAGCCAAATAGAAATAAGCAAAACTAGAAGTAGTTGTTTAGTTCTTACTGTGAAAGGTGTTGGCTTAGCATAACCAGGAATGATTTAACTCTTAGCTGCATTCTCCCCTTTCACAATTGGGTGAAAATAAAGGTTCAAATAAAAGCTTCTGGTGTTGGCCCACCCCCACTGGCAATTAACCTATGCTATTTTCTTTCTCTTACCAGTCTTCTGTACTGCCTTCGGATACATTATCCAGCACACTCCCAACGGGGAACCTCAGTGAAGAATTGATTGCCTCATCCGTACCTGCTCCTGTCATTCCCGATGTTGGTGCTAATCAGTGCTCCAGCATTAGGAGTGGCGGATCTGGTGTTGGCCCACCCCCACTGGCAATTAACCTATGCTATTTTCTTTCTCTTACCAGTCTTCTGTACTGCCTTCGGATACATTATCCAGCACACTCCCAACGGGGAACCTCAGTGAAGAATTGATTGCCTCATCCGTACCTGCTCCTGTCATTCCCGATGTTGGTGCTAATCAGTGCTCCAGCATTAGGAGTGGCGGATCTTTCATCCAGCCATCAGACTTCAATTCTGATTCATCTCTCAATGGCCAGCAGTCATTTCTTCCGGTGTTCCCAGCTTCAGTGCCACTGTTACAACCTACAGTCCCTCCACACCATACCGCTTTGCCCACAGTGCCTCTGAATGCCAACTTGAATTCCCAGCCATCTGCTTTTACTGCTTCAGAAACCCAAAACCTGCTCCTGTCATTCCCGATGTTGGTGCTAATCAGTGCTCCAGCATTAGGAGTGGCGGATCTTTAATCCAGCCATCAGACTTCAATTCTGATTCATCTCTCAATGGCCAGCAGTCATTTCTTCCGGTGTTCCCAGCTTCAGTGCCACTGTTACAACCTACAGTCCCTCCACACCATACCGCTTTGCCCACAGTGCCTCTGAATGCCAACTTGAATTCCCAGCCATCTGCTTTTACTGCTTCAGAAACCCAAAAGTTTGCCCTCACAAAATCTTCCGTTGTTACCCACACAGCTTCTGCCACCCTGACCCACAACGCCTCTGCCACCACTTTCAGCCAGAGCCAGAACCTCATCCTGGCAACGCAGCAGCCGGGGGGAGGAGTGCCTTGTAACCTGACTGCTGTTCTGCAGAGCCTGAAAAAAGCCCCAAACAGCCACAAAAAATAGTGCCTGCTCCAAAGCCTGAAACAGTCTCCTTAGTATTAAAAAATGCCTTCATTACCCCAGGTGAGAATCATTCAGGTTCCTCCTTGTTCTGCCAAGAGAAGTAACATGAGGGAGGGGCACGGTTGTTGGTGGTGCAAAATAACATTTCCAAAAAATATGCTAATTGGCTGGACCCCACTTGTCACTGGAGGTACCTAGAAATCTCTGTGGTTAGAAGATTTATCATTGCTGCCACGGCCATCTCAGAATTTGCTTTTCAAATAAACCTCCAGGCCAGCAATAAAAAAAGACATTTTCATTTTAATTTGGTTGTAAGGGAGGCTGTGTGGACTATTGGAGATTGCATAGAATTAGGAGATCTTGGATTCTGGTTCTGGTTCTGCCATTGAGACCTTTGGTTGCCTTTAGAAGTCATTTCACCCTTCTTTGCTTCAATGACTCTATCATAGGAGGATATTTTACCTATCTCAGTTGTATGCTGAGGTGTAGTTATTTAATGTGCTCAGCACTCTCAGAAATCCTTAGCTGAATGCAGCTAGGCAAGTGCAGAGTGTTACTGGCTGTTTTCAAAGGGATGTACTTGACTAGACTGCCCAAACTCTCTAATCAAATAAGACTGTTTTGTGGCCTTGTCCACACTTGCTTTGACACAGAGGGTACCTATAGCTCTACTCTATACTGAAGAGCAGGATGCGTCCACACTCACTGCAGTGTGTGTACCTGCAGGCAGCAGTAAAGTGTCTGGCAGTGGGAGCTGCTGGAGCCTTTCCTCTCTGCCTCCCCTTTGCCCGAGCCTTTCACTGCTGCCTGAGTCCTTCACTAAAAAATAGAAGTGTAGAAGTGGGAGGCACTGCTTTGCTGTGCAGAAAGCTGTGTAGAGTATATGCCCATGTGTTCAGGCATATAGGACGCTCAGCTACAATCACCTAACCAATGCCTCACTGTCTACACAGCTATTTATACCCAGGATAGTTGGGCCTTGTGTCTCAAGTTGTATCACCACTGTAAATGTAGACCTTTCCTCTAGGAATGTTAATGCTTATGAGCAGAGCTGATGTAGCAGGGAGGAAAACATTTCCGGGATATGGGGACCTAAGAAATAATGTTTTAGGATTTATGTGCCTTTGCCTCAAACTTCCTAGCTTGATGTCCTTAGAGATTCAGTCTGTTTGCAGGACAATGTTAGCACTCTCAAGGAAGCAGGTGCCAAGACCCCTCATGATTTGGGCTTGCTTTAGGGACAGTTTCTGAAATGTCCTTATGATGGTTTCAGCCTCATGCAGTGGGGCTTTGTCTTTCTGCCCTGCAAGTCAAATGTTGGTCCTGCTTGACAAACTCCCCTGAAAACGTCTCATGGCCCCTCAGCAGGCCCCAGATCCCTTGTTGAGAACCTTTGTGATAGCCAGTCCCCAGAAGTATACAGCCTGAAGGATTATTGTGAAATGGAAATTACTGAAAACAAAGTAATTTTTCAGCCCACCAGAAGTCCTTATTAACAGCATCAAGCGTGCTTCATCCAACCCTTAGCACGAAGTTGTGTCCCCTGAAGTAGCTTGATCCATAGTTAATAGCAGTAAGTCAATACAGAGTATGTTTCTAAGACATCCTTATGTGTACCTAATGAATTATAAAGCAAGAGACCAGGTGCCTTCAACAGCCAAGAAATTCACCACTGATCTAGTGATGTTTTCTAGGCCTTTTTTCACCAAAGGACTATGCCTGTCTTCATATGCTGAGCTAAGGTGTGCACTTGTGTTACCCATGGGATTTGCACCTCTGGCTGGACAATTAATGGCTTCATGGTTATGGGGCTCAGCATCAATTCTGTTTCTAGCTTAGGTTGAAAAGTGCACCGTTGACAGCCTACGTTAGTTATAAAACCCACATAATTTAAAACTGTTAATCCACAGGCAACTTGGAAGTCTTTTTACTGTGTAGTATCTGAAGCTGTTAAGTCCTTTTTGTATTCTAGAGCAATCTAGCAATGTCCATTTGTGTTGCAGCTTGATCTTTGAGAGAACTTAGAAGGAAATACGATTCAACGAAGTTATAAAGAAAATACCAGTTAGGTTTCTTTTAGTCCAGTCTCCCAATCACCACTAGTTTGTTCCCTGCAAAACATTCTCCAGATGCTTGGTGTTGATAAATTATAACTTGGTTTGTATTTTTCAGCTGCCTTTCAGGGACAGTCCAGAGCTGTGATTGTAACCCGTGCACCTTTAAAAAGAGAAGGGATTTTGACTCCAGCTATTTCTCCACCTAGTGTTGTAATTGCACCAGCTGGAATTGCCAGGGTAAGAGAAAGGAAAGAAAAAAACCTCTTTGGACTTGAGTTTGTATATTGTTAGAGCCTTAGACTGTGGTAGTGCTCCAAAAGTGCTTAGGCATAGATGCTCCCTTGTTACTCAACAGATCTGTTTGCGTATTCTGAGCTGTCAGTTAATGTTTGATTTATCTACATTGTGTGACTGTTAGCACTGTATTATCTGCACAGCTTTGGGAGAGCAACTTTGTTTCTTCTGTGGCTTACACATCAACAGAATTCATAAGGAACACCAGTTGAAGAGAGTGTCTTGACACATAGTATCTCACTTGAGAAGGAACCATTATGATCATTTAGTCTGACCTGCTGCACGTTGCAGGCCACAGAAACTCACCAGACTATCACTATGATAGGCCCATAACTGATGATGATGGAAGAACCAGGAAGAATCCAGCTTGAGTTTCCAATTGCAATTTGAGAGGTTTATCTTGAGTATGCTAGTATGTTTGTCCAATCTGTTTGAGTGCATGTTAGAGAGAAATTTTCAGAGTACCCTGTGAATAATAAGAGGAAATTGCTTTTTCGCTGCTGCTCCCTTATTCTAATGTTGCATTGAATTATGAAAAATGTGGGATTCTTACCAGAAGTCTGACATTTGTGCCTGATGGTCCATTATATATTAGCACTTGTTTGGAGAGTTCCCAAACAAGTATATTAGTATAGTTATACACTAATTTAACATTATAAATTGCTATTGGAAAACAATGTAATAGAATCCTTTGCATTTTTTCTGTAATATTCTTGTGCTGTTTCTTAGGCTTCTGGTGTGGCAGAATTCCATAACAACATTCTGGTTGGTCGAGCACAGCAAGCTCCAAGTAACCAGCAAGTCCAATCCACAGTCCCACATCTCTTCTCTCCTAGTGCAGTCCAAGATGTGAAAGGAGAGCAAATCCCTTCCCACAGTACCTGTTCACAGGTTCCCTCACCTACTCCTAGTAAGTTAAAGAGATTTTAACTTTTTCCCCTATGTGCATCCATCTTTAACGGGAATGTAAAGCAGAACTTGGCCAAATGTAAGAGCTATATGTGATGGAAGGAGCAAACATAGGTACAAACTAGAGCATGGGTTCTCATACTTCACTGCAGTGTGACCCCCTTCTGACAACAAAATAGTTGTGACCCCCAGGTGAAGTTTTGAGACCAAATCTCACCACATCGTGTGTTACAATGAAGCATGGGCTTCAGCTTCAGCCCTGGATCCCAGCAAGTTAATGTTGGCCCTGGCAACCTCATTAAATTGGGGTCTTGACCCACACTTTGAGAATCACTGCCCTATACTTTCAGTCTCTAATAATCTTCAGTTCTTGCCCTAGGCTTTTGGTTAGTGTCTCTGTGCACTAAGGTGCTTTATTCCACCCCTGAAATAGTTACACTTAAGTACTCTATAAAATGTTATAGAACTCTGTTATAATAAATATAATTCTACAGCCACTTCCATTAGAGGTTGTCTAAGCACAGTCCAGCCTCACAACTAACCTATGGTTCCCTGCAATATCCTGGCCTTTTTAGTGTGCTACTTCTGAGGTACATGTCCATTTCCATGGGACAGTAAGAAGTCATTAGTAAATGTAAATATCTGTCCCCTGGCTTTAGGAACCTGGAAGGTCAGAGTGCAAGTAGGTCAAGGTGGGATTGTCAGTTTAGATCCTAAACAACCCTAACACATGTTTGCCTGAAGTGGAGAGAAGAAGGGATGCATTTAGCCATTGCTTGTCAAATACTTGGATTTCTTTGCCATTTGATCATCCCATGAGTAGAACCTAGATAATACAACAGCAGATACTCTAGAAGTTCAGTGAATGGCTAGATTAAGCGATATGGGTAGAAATTGCTCCTCGGTTTGTTAGAGAGTTATTTTTTTAATGATCTGACATGTCCTTTTTGAAGGCCGAGATTGTCAGAATTCAGGACAAGCCTCTCCCTGTCCATCTGAGCAAAGCCCCAGTCCTCAGTCTCCACAAAATAATTGCTCAGGAAAATCCACAACTGACCCTCAGATGGCTGCATTTAAGGTACATGTTTCATCCTTTTGAGTTTTTTCTTCCTTTTTTGTCTTTGTAGCTTATTGATTTCCTGATTTAGATGGTACAGACTAGACTGTAAGTCACCTGACAAATGAGGCTGCACCTGTGGTTGTGGTGTACCTTGCAGTATATTTGTGTTGCTGTATTTCACTTTAAACATTTCATTATGGCTTCAGGCTTTGTAGTGGTACTGATTTTGCTGTGCTTGGCAGTGATATGTTATCCAATATGTGCAAGGAGGGTTGGCTGTATTTCTTGTTATCTTTATTAGAGTTGATACTTAGTTTACGTAACCCTTATGACAGATCTAGGTTTTAACTGGTAGATCTATATTCAGCTCGTCTTGGCCATAGGCCTCTAAGCCAGAGTTTTTTCCATGAAAATTATTGTTGTTCTGTTGGGCGTTCTTCTGGCTGCTCAGTTTTGGGGGTTCTTGATCTTCAGTGCTGTTTGTTGGGGTGATTTCACCTGGCTGTGTCTGATACATTTTGATAGTCCCTGGTAGTTGCACTTTTTGGTCCTTTCATAAAGCCTGAAGAAAGTGCAAAACTGAATACTCTGGAACTCAGTAAAGTGTAATTATCATGAAATAGCAGGTCAGTGTAGTGGAAGCAGAACTCTGGCTGACTTCCTTTCTGACAAATCTTCTCTGCTTTTACAAACATAATGATACTCACAGTGCTGGCAGTGTTAGCTCTGATGACCTGGCTGATTTCATACTGGGGTAATTTTAGTTCCAGAGTCTCTGGCATTCCTCTCAAAGATTCATTTTGGTATGAGTGTCTTCACCATTCTTCCTAAGATGAAAGTGATAAAGTTGCTGTGTATTATTAAAGAGCTGCTATTTCCCCTCAGAACTTTGGGAAGTATTCCCTACTGTAATAACTGTCTGTATACAGTGAAGGGGTTATTCTGCACAAAACAACATTGCTATAAATGGATAGGGCCAGCCTGATTTTTTTTTTTTAAATCCTCTACTACAAAGATCTCTCCTTGCTCCCACTAGAGGGCAGATATTTCCAGGCTGGCTTGTCTCCCTTGCAACCACATTCATTTTTCTTACCCTTCAATTTATTCATGGGTCAGTGGAATCTTTTCATCTCTTCATTCTCCTCTGCGCTCGTTAAAATGGAGCAGGCAACACCTTGCTGACAGGGTAACTGCTGCATGCTAAGAAGATTTAACTCAGTGAAAGCTCACTGAAATGCCCTAGAATCCTGCACAAGGAATATCATTTATAACCAAGTTTGCTGTAAAGGCTGTGTCATCACTATAGTTTCTAACTTGGATCTCAGTTTGTTCTTAGACAGTCACATTTCTTCTGTCACTACCATTTTGTGCACCTGTAACTATCTAACACATTGGTAGAAGTTAGAGTGTTTGGAGGGCATACGAATGGAGTGGCAGGAGTAGCATATGCCCTCAAGGATATCCTTCCACACGGCTGAAGGGATGGAAGATTGGCCATGCCATACACATGATTGGGGATTCCTGTCTTCAGAACAAAAAGACAGAAGAGAGCCATTTGCCAGTAGCAAAACACTGAGTTGTTATGCAATATTCCCTTCTAATTTTTACCATCCATGAATGAATTTGTTATGTGCAATGAAGCATGTACAGATGTGGCCCACCAGTATAAACACATGCTGCCAGCTGTGGGCACTCTGCTAATCAGCTGGGTGGCATTTGAATCTCTCCTGGGTGTCCACCCAAGCGCTCAGCTTAAAAGGAACTCTGCTTTGGTTACAAAGAGAGTTCTAGCCATGTGCTATGACATATGTTTGGAGCCATCCATCTGGGTAACCTTACAAGCTCTATTCCAAGTTGTAGTGTGGATTTACTTTGGAATGAGAGCTACTGTAGAAATGCCAGTTGTTAAATCAAACTGTTAGAGACCTTGGTCTTTGTAGAATTTTTCCTTGATTATACAAAAAACACAACAAAAATCACAACAGACCCAAGAAGGCTATCATCTCTGTTTCATTCTCTAGAAGTAGGTAGCCACTAGAAGATGAGGTGTCCTTGGGAAAACAAAGCTACAATGAATTAAATTTCAGTCATTTTGGCATAAGTATTGGTGATTCTGAATGCTTTGTACAGGCAGTCCCCGGGTTACGTACAAGATAAGGACTGTAGGTTTGTACTTAAGTCAGAACTGGCGTCCAGATTCAGCCGCTGCTGAAACTGACCAGCGGCTGACTACAGGAAGCCCGAGGCAGAGTTTCTCTGCCCCGGGCTTCCTTGAATCAGCCGCTGATCCGTTTCAACAGCAGCTGAATCTGGACGCCTGGGACAGAGCAGCTGAGGCGCTGCCAGGTAGGTCTCCGCAGCGCCGCACCTCAGCGCTGCGGGGACCAACCTGGCAGCACCCCAAGTGCAAAGCCGTGGAGGACCCAGGCGGTGGGACTGCGGCGCGTCTGGGCGGTCCCGCCGCCCGCGTCCTCCAGGGCGAGAAAAGCCCCGTTCGTAAGTACGGATCCGACTTAAGTCGGATACGCGTAACTTGGGGGCTGCCTGTATTCTAAATCCCAATATGTTAATAAGCAGCAAAGGATCAGTGATTGTTACAGGCTATTTTGATGTTTGTCCACCTTTAGCCTTCCATTCTTTTCTCTTTTTGGAATGTTGTTGTTCTCAAAACTAAAAGGTGATGGTCTTGCTAAATAAAACTGCTTAGATTACAGTTTAGCAGCACATCTAGTGCGTAAAGCACTGGATTGCGAATCAGGAAATTTAGGTTCTGTTTCAGAATCTGCCACTGACTTGTTTTGTGATATAGTTGTCCAGTTAATCTTGTTGTTCCTCATTTTTCCCCTCCATAAAAGGAGGCTAATGTCAGTTATCTTCTGTAAAGCACAATGAAAAACACTAGGAAATTGCTAAATATGATAATTCCTTTTTCATGGATCTGATGGAAAAAGATGTTTGACAGCTTTAGAAATATGTGGTAGCATGTAAGCCAAATAATTATTTAAACTATTTATACGTGCCAAAGATTGTATTCCAAATGTTAAAATCCAATTGTGGGTTCCTTTCATGCTTGTAAAATCCACTGACTTCAGTGGCTATTTTTGCTGCACTAGGGATGGTGGGTTAGGCTCATAATTTGTAGGTTATTTTAAAGGTCTAAGGATGTAAAGAAACACGATCAGAATTTCAGGGGTTTTTTTAACATCATCTTCCTAAATCTAAGAAGAAAACCTATTAAACTAGTTTTGGTTTGCATTTAGTACAGTGGACACTTCTGAAAGGGTTGAAATTGCCATGTGTGAGTAATTAATTTCACTATGATACTTCACTGCCTATTTGAAGGCTATGAATATCATGGTAACTTTAATTCAACAAGAAAATAAAATTGTATTGATATTAATAGCAAAAGTTAGCATGGGGCCGTGGTATAGAAACTAGCATAGATTTATTAGGTATCTTTGTTTGTTTATGCAGAATCGAAGGATAAAGCATATTTCGGCAGAACAAAAGAGAAGATTTAATATCAAGATTGGTTTTAGCACCCTGAACAGCTTGGTATCAGCTAACTCTAAGTCAGTAAGTTGTCTGAGTGCTATGCATGTTCAACCTGGCAAGTATCTCAATATAAAATTATAGAAACCATTCATTCTGAAAAGGGTTGTTAATATATCTGAACAACACGTGTTTCACTGGAGAATTTGAAGTACAAATCAAAGTGATGTTATCTGATGCATATGTGCCATAAATGTTTAGGGGAGGGTTCCCAAGCTGGGTAGAAGAAAATCTATTGCTACTAGCCAGGTAGCTGAGTGCATGTCAGCTTTTTGTTCTTTTACCTCTACCTACCAGTACAAGTCTCAAAATTTCAGGGAGTCCACTTTGACCTTGAGCTTCAGCTTTAGGACCCAAAGGGGAAGAAAAGGAAACTGGGCAGTGCAGTGGTCTTTTCTCCTGGAGCTGCAGTAACAGGGATTTGATCTTATGTGCAGCATGGTCATGCTTTGTGCTTACCATATATGGGTCCTTTCCTCTGCCATCTCAAAATAATATTTTAGGAACCTGCTTTAATTCTCACAACACTGTGAGGCAAGTCATGTACAAATTTGACAGATGGATAAACTGTAGCACAGAAAGACTGTAACCTTAAAGCCCAGGGTGAATTGATTTGAGTCAGAGTGAGGAAGGGTTCACAGATGAAGTGTTGTCTTACATTAAATGCATTTCAATAAATATATTACAATAAATGTGAGCCTTAACATCGATTGTCTTCATTTAAAAAATGTGTTTAATTTAAATAAAGAAGCCTAAGTTATTCATTTCTATCCTGTCAAAGGCACACACAGAGGTAGATCCTAGACTAGAACTCAGTAACATTGTTTGGCTTCTTTAATAACCATTAGACACTTTCCCATATGTTTAATGATAATGAGAAAAGACCAAGTCCGTTAATCACATAAGAAACATATCAAAGAAGTTATAACACCCCTCATTAAGAAGTATGAATATTTGTTAAGAAAGAAAGTGATTAACAAACAATTTCAACATTTCCATTGATAAGGTAGTTAAAATCCAATTTGGGAAAGAGAGGACAAATTGCACACACATGCATCTTTCACTATATCAATGCTAATAAGAGTCAGGATAAATACCTAGCTGATTAATTTCTCTTTTGAAACACTGTTCATCTTCCAATTCCAAAGTGCTTTGACAGGGTGGATAAGGAATATGATAAAGTGGAAGAAATTCTTCTGTAGGTGCTTTATTTGGTTTGGGGCAAACTCTTAGGCTATTTAGATCAACTCTGGAAAGTTAATTTTGTGATTCCCTTTGGTACAGATCAGCCATGCGATCACGCTCCAGAAGACTGTGGAATATATAGCTAAGCTACAGCAGGAGAGAATGCAGTCACAAGAGGAAACCAGGCGCCTCCGGGAAGAGATTGAGGAGCTAAATGCTACCATCATGTGAGGTTTTGGGGGGAATTGTTACCTTTTTTCATAATGACCAGACGGTGGGGAGCATTCCTTTTGCGTAAATAGCCTTGGATATCTGCATCAAATATTATGCTATATGGCAGTGGAGCATTGAAGAGGGGGAAAAAAAAATCAGTGGATCCCAATGAAAAAGCAAAATCACAATAGGATGAGCATCATTAGGCTTCTGTATAGACGTACTGTAGGCTCTTAGTACACCATGATAAGCAGTCATAACATTCCTGAGAAGTAGTCAGGAAGGGTTGTGTTCAAAGCAGTATTGTACTGTCCATCAGAAATTAGAGATGTAAAAAAAGAAATCAGTTAAAAATATAACTGTATAACTTAAAAATCCTACTGCTTACACATACCGAGGGCTCTGCAATATAAAGTTTATACTCTAGAGCCTGCAGCGTAGGGCAGCAGCCAGGTCTCTGGGAACTAGGTTGGGAGCTGGCATGTAACTGTGATGGAAACAGATAAGCCAATGTTTATTGGTTAATTGTTTAAACAGTTACACTGTTACACCCCTATCAGAAATTGTGTTCTCTAAAATAGGGGAGCTGTAATGGTTCTGTTGTATGTAATCTTTCATTATTGGAAGATATAATGTCTGCTGAATAGAGAACAGAAATGAGACTTGAGGTGCAATGATCTCTTACTGGCTCTGCAACTGACTTCTTCTGTGATCTCAGGCAAGTCATTTTAATTGCTCTGTACCTCAGTTTCCCCATTTATACAATAGAAGGTAACTATCCTATTGTAAAGCATTTTGTGTAGCACTTTTCATCCACAGAATTGTTAAATGTTCTGTTATGTAATTAGAGATTTGAAGCGAGCAATAAAATATATTTATAATAACTGATGAACATTTATTCAGTTGATTTTAAATTCACCCTTTAATTTGGGCTATGTCCTAAAATCATAGAAATTTGAAGAAAATATTAGTGGTGATTTTTTGCCTATGAGTTTTTGATCTGACTGCTATTTCTAGTGTGTTTTAATATTTTCTGCATCGGTCCTGAAGATTACGTTGTTAGAGGCTTTACTTTGTTTTTAACTCTATTATTTGTAATGATAAATGCTTAGCATTCGAAAATTCTCTTTTGTAAATGGATATGGACAAAACTGACAAGAAAACTGTGTTACACAATACACATTACTGAGTTTCCCCTAACAGGCATCATTAATTCAATGGTGCTAAAGTTTGGTGCTTGTTCTGTATTAGAGTTTGGTTTGGAAGAGAAACATCTCCTTTCTGCAAAGAGATTTTGAGCTATGGCCTTTTTCTTCAGTTCTTGTCAACAGCAGCTTCCTGCTACTGGGGTTCCCATTACACGGCAGAGATTTGATCACATGCGGAGTATGTTTGATGAGTATGTGAGAAACAGGACCCTCCAGAATTGGAAGTTTTGGATTGTATCCTTTCACTGTGATACTGTGCATTGCATTTATATTAAAAACGCACTAGAGTATTGTAATTGGAGTATAGGAGTGGGAGTCAGGAACATTTTGTTCTAATCCAAACTCTGCCAAAAACTGATGCTACAACTTTTAGCCATTCACTTAAATAACCCCGTTACTCTATTTTCTGATCTATAAAATGAGAATAATATTTCTCTGCTTCACAGTGCATTGTGAGGTGTAAATCCATTAATGTCTGTAAAGCTCTTGGAGAGGTTTGGAAGGAATGTGCTCTTAGAATTCATAGTATTATTGTTATTTGTTATTATGGTTTAAAAATGGTTAAAGTTTAGTGAATATTGTTCCTGAGATTATAACTTACCTTTTCATTTTTAAAAAAGGACCACTGTCAAGATAAGCTATATCAATTCCTTACTGATAACTACAGGCAGTCCCGACTTACGCAGATCCGACTTATGTCGGATCCGCACTTACGAACGGGGCTTTTCTCGCCCCGGAGCTCACGGGCGGCGTGTCGCCACCCGTGTCCTCCGGGGTGAGAAAAGCTTCTCCCGGTCTCCCTGGTCTGCTGGGGGAGTCAAAGCCTTGGAGCACGCCAGCAGTGGGACAGCCGTGGCGCGCCTGGACTGTCCCGCTGCCCGCGTGCTCTGCAGCTTTGCTCCGCATCTCCCAGGTCAGCAGACCAGGGAGACGGAACAAAGCCGTGGAGGACTTGGGCGGTCCCGCCACCCCCGTCTCCCTGGTCTGCTGGGGGGGG